GTTTTTATCTGAATTTTATTAATTAATAGATAATTTAGTTTTGCTATTTCTGTACATATGTACCTATTTTTAGCAATTTTAATAAATTCCAATGATTTGAAGTAATTTAAATGTGCTCTATCAGTTTTTATTTACCTATTAATATGCATTACTTTAGCCTATATTTTCTTCTTCGTGCGTTTGTAAACAACTTCATGAGATTTAACAGGAAAATACACTAGAATAAATAAATATATAATCATTTTCAACCATTTCCCTCTTTGAAAGTAAATAAGAATTTATTCAGCACTGTAAGGCCCTTTTTGGAGAGAAAATATTTTTTTATTTCCAGGCCAACTGCGTATTCTCCTTTTTTTTATTCATACAGATAAGAATGGTTCATCTCAGACGGAAAGTAAATATTTGAGAAAATTTCAGAAACAAATAAAAAAGTTTGCAGCAAAGACAATTAACTATAGATTACCAGTATGGGGTATGAGTTAATGAAACTACCACGGGATAAATTGTATTTATATTGGCAGAGCTCGAATACTTTGCCGTTTCATTTTACTTTGGAAACGTGATTTTTTGTAATGCGTACATAAGATCCAAATCTACTGCTCATTAAAATAAATTGAGTGCGAGGACTTGACAATTTGCCTGCAATAAATGTTAAAAGTTGTAAATGACAGCAATGTAGAGTTAGTGCAAATGAGAAATTGGAAAAATTCCGCCTTCATTATTTGCTTGCGCCAATTAGTCAAGTTGGCTATTGCAATAACCATCAGAAAAAAGCTGTACGTCTCCCTAAAGTAATGTGACGAAACTTATAAACAAGGTAATATAATCGACACTATACAATAATGTAAGCAAGAGCGACCTAAATCATTTATTGGTTATGCAGTAAAAAACGATTTTATAGTAAAAATAATGATATTTAATATAAATTAAGAATAATAATAAAAAACTCAAATAACATATATCGCTAATGAGTTAAATTACGTACTATAAGTATTAATGTGTCGAACATGTCAAACTTTTGAAGCTAATAAAAAAATAATAATAAAACATTGAGTAAGATATTTTCATAGGAAAGATAGAAACGATTTAAACACCAAAACTTATCAACTTTAAAATATATCAAAATACTCTTAGCTTTTTAAAGTAAATAAAAACTTTATTGAAGTGTGGATCGGGAAAATATTATATTGTTTGATTTTTAGAACTATTCAATGAGGTATTTCTAACAAAGCGGACAAAGTGTTAATAAATGACCCAAAGGGTGGGTCCTTTAGGAATGAGAAATGGTTCCATTAAAGCAAATCCTGGGTGAGGTTGGGTAAATGACCCTATTCAATACTATTAGAGAGGTTTATGTAGATACTACAAACTTCTGTAATAATCCTATACAAATATTACATCAAAGTTCAATAAAATGTGGATTTATCGATCGATCGCTTTACGCTATAACTAAAAAAATGAGCTGGTTTCGGAAGACACATTAACATTTGAACTAAAAGATGAAGCCGTAACAGAAAATACTCAACTGACAGTTTTTAGAAATGTGGGTCAATATATATTCAGGGGGATGTAAAACTAGAAGACGCAAATACATTTTTGATTCTTTTTTCAATAAAATATTTTTATCCTTAATTAAAATACAGTATTTTATTTAAAATTACCAATTTCAGGTTGAAATGGATAAATTTTGTTAGTCACTTAGTAAGCATAGAATATTTTATACATTTTTCATGTAAAACGTGCAAATTTTTTTTATTTTACCTGTCCCTTAATGATTCTGCTTTATAGCTATTAAATTGTCTTATAAAAGATAATAAGGATAACACCTGTGTAAATTTTCAGTTGTTTATCTTTAAAAATGTTGACATTATTAAAAAGAACATTAAAAGAATCAGTTGAAACACGACTAATATTTAACAACACATGTTTATGGAAACTTTTTTTCTTATTTTGAGTTCTACCATCAGGCAATGTTATGTACTTCGAGGCACCCTGTATATATCAAGTAAATTTCGTAAAATTTACTATTATTGCACGTCATTCCAACTCATATGCTGATGAACTACCATTTCTTAATATTTCTTTTACGTAACTTAAATATTGTTTATACTTTTCGATTATTCCCATAACTAATAAATTCTTGTTGATCAACCTCAGTAATAGAAGAAACTTAGAGATATTTTTATTAGGTTCTGATTATCATGTCACTTATATAGGTGATATTTCGTGGAATACTCTATTTCATGGAGTATTAAGGACCAAAAGCCTTTAAAAATATCATAAGTAAATAACACAGCTATCAATTATTCCTAGATAAACTTAATCAAGTCCATTTATACAACCTAAAAATTATATAGGATCCAGTATTGTACCTTGCGGTACACCTCTAGAAATCAAGAGTGAATCGTTTAGTATTTTCTCCAAATTTATTCAAGTGAAACATCCTTTGTATTTAAATCTAATATTTTAAGACTTTTACTTATTAAATTAATTAAAAATATTATTAATGTGGAAGTGAAACTTAACTTAAAAAATTACCATAGTAAGTTAAGAAAATGAAATTTCTTCATGCCAAATTCATAGCCTGTCTTGAAAAGATAATCATCATGTCAATGTTAATTGGTGAAACAGAGTACCATACATAAATTAAAAAGGAAAAATTTCTTCTAAAAATGTAAAACAATTTATCGGTAAATCAGGTTTCTCATTCCTATGTTCAAAACGAAAATATTTACAAAATAAAGTTATGGAGGAATCTAATTTTCTCAAATTTTCTCTCACTCGATGTCTTCGAACTTTGAACATGTTGCAGGCTGTAGATATCTACATTAGGTGAGAAATTTTACAAACCGATAGCTCCAGTTACACTTATTTCATAGAAATTGAATAGGTGATTGATTGAGAAAACATCAGAAAGGTGCTTATTAGCGAAGGAGAAAAATGAATGATTGGATTTAGGCGGCTGACCTTTCAGTAAATCTAACCTTGAATCGTACAAAGACGAACCAGGAAACCTCATTTCAATGTAGAACTTGACCAGGAAGTATGTTTTGAAGATGTTACATTAAATATATTTTTTGATGACATAGAGTGTAATAATTTAGTTTATTATAGTATTCCAAAAAAAATAATTTTAACGCCATTTTTAGTGTAAAAGCTACTCTTGTTCATTATTATCGATGCACTAATCCTGTGCTAGCAATAATGATAACCTGTAAACAACAATTGGTTTTTAGGTACCAAAACAAATGTATTTGCTTTATATATATTTTTTAGTGTACCTATATTTCTCTGTACTTTTTTGGTCTGTTCATTTTTTATTACACTTTGTCGCCGTGCCAGTCGCCGACAGCACGCTTTACCTAGATTTTACAGTGGATCAGTTCCCAGGTCCGTGCAGCATTGGATTTTTAAATAAATTTTGAATTTTTTTACAAAATTGCATTTGTAAGAGTCCCTTGTACAATCGAATCGAAATTATTTAATTTACTAATAGAAAGTTTCGGGGCACGGTTTATTATAATTTCATAATGTATCCATATTAGCAAAAATAACGTAGTTTTTTCCAAAAATATCCTATATTGATAAAAACAAGGAAGTTGAACTCTCAACTGCACAGGGTGAGCCCAAATAAAAAAGTGTATGAAAATTTGTGACATTGTTTTTGCAAATCTTACCCAAATCCGAGATATCGTCTTCCATTTCTTGTACGCCCTGTGTATAATCAGAAACTAAAGCTGCATACCAAATTTAAACTTAAAAAAGCAACACCCTATATTTAAAAAATGCTTTATATTACGTATGTTATGTCTATAGCAACATTTGTGACGTAGAATCCAATAAAGTTTGACTGGGTCTTTTAGTTATTAACACCAAGGTTACCAAGTTTTAGACCAAGTTATGACGACAGATTGCTACATTCGTTCAGTTTATTTATACCGGGTGACTAGAATAAACCGTCAAGCTATTTTTTATTCAGTTTTAGAAGAATAAATACTGATACATAGAAGCTGCAACCAATTTTAATTTTTATTCAATATCAATATTTTGATATTGATGGCTATATTTTGTGAGCAATAAGGTAAAAAAATTTTTTAAGCTAAAGTTTAAGAAAAAATTAACACTGTGCCACAAACACACAATTTTAAATAATAATACTTGATGTAACTTTCATTATTTTTAATAATAAGTCTGATTCCTCAAACAAATTTATTTTTGTATATTTTTATCAATGTAAGGAAAATATTACTTCTTTAGGCTATCAGTGCTATTTAAATTTAAATGTGATAAACATTATTTATAACAATTTTTTACCAAACATTCAGTGTGTTTACATCTGCAATATACTTATCTTGATTAATCATTTTTTAACAAATAATAAACTTGATACAATAAACACAGTGTAGAAAATGCAATTAAAAGTGAAGTTACAAAAAACTTATGTTATACATTTCTTAAGGGCAATATTTAATAAAAACTGATTAAACTATTTGCTTTTTACTAATTATAATATGTAAGTAATATTATATTTTGGAGATATTGTTTTGACAGAACACCTTGTATAGTTTTCGATACCTGGAGAGAGCACTTTCTTGCCATTACATTGATATACGATTTTATGGGCCTATCTCTAAAAGTAAAAGAGATAATATGGCTAAAGGCCAAAGATACTAAAGGGTTATTGTTAGCATGCTCTTTTGGCATAGAAGATATATCTATCAAATTTTATATCACTGTAATCGTAAATATGTAAAAATATACAGCATGATCATTTTAAAGAAAATTGAGGTTTATATAATTCATAATTTGACACACTGTTGAATAAAAAATCACCGACAAAGTGTCATAATTACATTAATTTCTAATAAACTTGTATTAATTCATGTAGGTTTTTTATTTACATCTCCGAGAAAAGTTGAACTACTTACAGTATTAATTTGTGCAACGGGACAGAGTTAAAGTACTATTCAGGCTAAATAATGTTAATATTAATTTATTACCTGCATTGTAAAATGCTAATTTTATGAGTTGCACTGGATTATAGGTATCTAATCGACTGCAAATATTGGCGGAGGAATTGGGTTATTGTTTATGTCATTTAACGAGCCTACACGGACACCACTGAAACACTCGTGGCACATGCCGCCTCAACTCGATCCACGCGTTTGTCGCTTCAGTTTCAGTTTCGCACGGCATTATTTGAATTTATTCTGCGAGAGCGCATGCTCCTTTCGTAACAATCCAGAGAGATACTTATTTTCCATTGATAGATTCACACCGTGTGTTACTATTATTATCTAAGGTGATCGTAAACAATCCTTAAAAACGAGAATGGTGGTGGTAATATACAGGGGGATTCAGTCATAGTATCATTAATTTTAAGGGATGATAGTGAAAAATGAGTAGAATACGAATACGCGATAAAAAAAAATTCAAATCATTATCTAAACCCCTTTTCGTGCCGCCCCTGACCACTGACCTACAGGCTTCATCGAGAGTGAAGTTACCTACCGTAATATTCGGTCATTGACCTAGCTTTTAATACGTTTTTAATCTGTAGTGAGCTACAAAGAATAAATAAAGCTTTTTAGCCAGATATATGAATGAATAAGATATTTTTTTACATTTTAAATATTAACAAATATTTATTTGTTAATGAAAACAAATGTATAAGGATAATAGTTTTCGAATGTTAGGTTATTACAATTTAGTATTTTTAATATTATTAACGTTCTCACTATGTTATATAATTGAATATGAGTTTTTAGTATTGTGTGTAATTAATTATATTGTTTGTAGTACGCATACCAAGTGACTTTTCAAAGAGTAGTATGGTACCTACCTATTTAAAATAACACTATGACTTAAAAAAACACTCACTCATTCGTCCATAGCTTTGTTATTAAAATTTTAGGATTCGCTGCTTTGATTTTGAAACCAATTGCAAATTCTAGAGGACTGTATATTTCCAGTCAATTTAGCTGTACAAACCAGTTTAAAATGGTTTTGGGCAAAAGCGAAAATAGTCAAAATTTACACATTTATAGTAGAAAACTGTAAAGATATGCCAGAATTTCTCAAATTATGTTTTATTTAGGAAAAATTGTGAGATCTACTACAATTTAATGATTTAATTTGATGTGAACATATTGATCTTTTACCAATATAATGTTTTAAGTGACTGACTTTATATCACAAATTTTATGTTTCCATGGGATCCTATATTAAAAACACACGGACAAAGATATCTATGTTGTTCAAAAAGTCTCAATTAATTTTTTAGTAATTTTTCTGCTAATCTCCTAAGTTGTTTTAAAGAATGAATTTACACCTAAAGGGTCACTTACATAACATTTTGACCCCTCTTATATTATTTAGTTTTATATTTAAAAAAAAGGATAGAAGAAACAAAGTTTCAGTAAACGATCTTATATACATAAACCAATTGTGTTTCTCAGTTTTTTCTGATTACATTAAGATATGCTTCTCATATATTTGCTTTGACAACAATAGATATGTTCCTGAGTTATTTTGATTAAAAAATTTAATTCCTTTAAAACAAAAGACTCCTTGCAACTAATTCTTATAATATTATTTGGAAAATTGCTAAAACATTTCTACTAAAAATGATAAGTAAAAATATCATATCATTTCTTTCTCTATATTCTTGTGAGAGTATCTCTTTTCGACAATTTTTCTAGTGATTACATCTGAAACTGTAACGCTGAAAGAGAATCTCAGACAAATCTATTCTAGACAGCTACAGCCGTAAGATTTCAGTTTCCTTCCTTTTATTCTTTACGGTTTTGATAAAAGAAACTGAAATAGCATCCGAAGCATGAAATAAATTGAAATGTTTACATTTTACTCGGATTCTTTCAAGCCAAAACCTCTGGTTAGGCAAAAAAAAAAACGAAGAGTAAAGCTCAATTTACTTTTTTAGTTTTTTTTTATATAACTAAATTCCTTGGTGTAACATATCTAGGAACCTGATTATGGCACAGCCGCTAAATTTCTTGATTGCGGTGTTCTAAAATAAACTGTAACAAAAACACAGATGATTATTAAACGCAGATGCTTAAGAGTTTGTAGTATAAATTTAGATTTTGTGAATAATAATGTAAAACATTGTACAGGCTAGCAATGAAGCATGACTCATTTTTGTGTAAGTAAAAATTCGTTGCTATTCTTTACATTTTCCTCACTCGGATCAAACTTTATAAACTATTTTATTATAACTGTAAATCCTTATACCCTACTCAATAGTTTTAGTTCTAGATATATCAGAAACAAAACAAAAATGATTTGGAGGAGGTAAAAAACACTATATACTCCTGGTAAATTATTTAGCACAAAAAAATATTTCGATACATGTAAGTAAAATTCGTTTATACCGGAATTGTCCGGATATTTTTGGTGCGTGACAGCAAATCTAAAAATAAAGGTACCTTTTTATACAAACTGTTTCTAGAAGGGCAATTAGGAAGATATATATCCTTCTTAATTCTCCTTGATTTTCCTTGGTCCTCTTCCAAACAACGTTGTCAAGTAAAGAAGGAGGTATTTACGAATTGTTTGCCGTCTTTATTCCCACATACCTAAATATACATATTAAGAAAGTTGATGAATTAATTCTTTTAATTATATTCCCCAAACTATTTTGGATATTGTTTGTTTAATCAAAAGCCACTATATTTTATTATATCTGGAATTACAAATCGAAAAGACTTATTGTTGATCTTCTTTGACACAGAGTTTTCCTTATCAGGTCTTACCTTGTCTGCTTTATCTTATCTTATTTCACCTTCCCTAGCTTACCTTACGCCTCAACTTACCTTAATTAACATAACTTTCTTAAATTCGTTTTAATTAATGTTAATTACCAGTCTGTGAAATGATAAAATAATAAGGCTTAACGAGTAACTACCATAATAAAAAAATTCAAATCGTAAATGGTAAGGTTTTTAGGAGAGTTTTACTATTTATTGACAACTTTATATACAAAAGGTACATGTTGTGTCACTTATATAAAATAAAATGAGGAAAACAGATAGCTTGAATTATGAAAAATTTATTTCCTTGTCAATTTATTAGTATACCTACTCGTGTATACCTTAAAAGTAATTTTCAGTTAAGTATCGCTTACTAAATGTTTTAAAATGCTTAATATTTATTTCAATAAGTTTTTATTGAGCGAAATTAGTTACTAAGAAATTATAAAGTTATAAGTCCAATATATTTTTTAGCAATGTCGGTTCTGGATTTTAGGACAATCAGGTTGGCAGTATGCATTGTATTATAGTTGTTATTATCATAATTATGTCTAAATTCTTTGATGTTTGGTCAAAAACTACTCCAAGGTAATTGGTCCCTCTAGCAATCCATCGAGTCGCGACTTTGCCGAATCTTGCGAAGCTATCTTCTTTGGCGATTGCTTTCAGTTGTGTGTCATCATCACAATAATTAATTACAAATCATGAAGGCCTTTATTTTATATGACGATAGGAAATGAAACAGTTGTTATAAGTAGAAAAACAATTTCTTAAACTTGATTATATGTATTATTAAAGCTGAAAATAAAAAAGACGTTTCTAATAAAACAAAAAACATCAGCGTCCTAGCTCGATGATTATTAATTTCTTGTTTTATTTTTATGTATTAGTCGATCGAACTGACATAGATAAGTAAATATAAAATATCTACAATCATCTATTCTAGTTTACTATTACTTTGATACCGGCTCCTCCGCCAGTTTATACAATTTATAATGTTGACATCAATATACTTTTAGATATATTTTTTGAATAAAGACACTACTGATGCATTTTTATTTATATATTCAGAACTGTTTGTTCCATCAAATGAAATATTTCATGGTTATTACAATGTAATTACTCCGGGCTTTTTTAATTCAAATCAGGAAAGACAATGTCTGCCTGTAATTACAGCGATACGGTCAAATATAACTATAATAATAGCTGCTTTATACGGTTTTTTATGTATTAAAATCTTTTGTATGTAGAAACTACCTTAATATGAATTATTTCAGCTGTGCAGTGAATGAAATTAATTCCACCAGTTTACTTTTTACTTTTGAAGCGTCTATTATATTCTGTGACAATAATGAATGTTTAAAAGTCAAAAGAAAAAGGAATTATAAACACTTATGTTTATTGTGCAGTGATTACAATTTACGAAGAACACACAAATTCATAAAACTGTGGCTTCCCAAACTTGTTTGAAAAAAATTATTAGATTAGAGTATTAAAGTAAATTATTTAGATAGTTTTTTTAATATTTGTAAAAATTATATTATTTTCTCCCACTTTAAATACACCCTAATTTCTATCAATACTCTTCACTTCTCTTGCCACCAACATTAATAGTTCTCTGCATGTTTGGTTGCATACATATTCGATTCAATATCTTCAAGTTTATATTTTCTTTGGAACGCTATCGAAATGTAGCTTTATTATCAAAAATGTTTCATTCAATTAAATATTACATGTGGCTCATTTAGTATGAATAGTACGAATTATTCAGCCACAATTTACAACAAACTGAATTTATTAAATTCCTTAAATTAAAAAATATTAAGCATTATGTAATATACCTGTACAATTCACAACATTCCTTCAAAAATAAATTATCCTCTCAAATCTAAGAATAGGATGTTGTAAATCTTATCAGTAAAAATGATGTAAAAAGTGCATAAATTAACTTGAATGTTTCGTACTTTAAATGACAAGCAAAGTCATAAAACAGCGTCACAATCAATTCTTCTAAAAGATTTAACGTCATTAACTGTGACTTCTAGTAACACAACGTAAATTTTGTTGTCAAAAGTACCATTAAACTCATGACATTAAATATGTGATAATATACCGGGTGGCCAACTAAGAACGGCCGCCGGCCAGCTTTAAGAAAAAAATTACATTGAGGAAACTGGTCCTGAAACATCGCTGGAAAATGTTTGCTAGTTTATAAAATGTCCGCTAGATAGCGTAACAGCTACGACTAAATAGAAAATTGGGATTTCCTCCATATTTTACTGAATTAAGGGGTATTGAAAATATATTATGCAGTGTAATCCTTAAACAATGTTGTCTCTTTTTTGTTTAACACTTTTTGTTCTATCTCCAACAATAAAG